ATATTTAAGAGACAGTTAGCCAGTAAGAAGCCTAAGCCATCGGCCAAACCGTCTATACTTAATATAAGCCTCTGTGTGTATATTTGGGACTAAAGGATTGTGGAACCAGGCAGGACAGAAACTTCTGTCCACACAGAAATGCAAAGAACAAGAATGAAAAAAAAAATAACAACCTGACTCCTCTAAACAACAAAGCCACAATAACAAAGCAACTCTCCGGGCATGGTAGGGCATACTTCTCTTTCCAGCTATTGGCCGAGCTTTCATAATTAACAATAAGCTGGTTGATGAGACAGGGAAAGACTTGCCACAGAGTCACAGGCCAGGATATATAATATACGAAACCCTGTCTCCAAACAAACAACTCAACAACTGGATTCAAAAATGCAGAAATAGGTAAAATGCTGGGTGATTTCAGAAGTTTACTAGTTAAAATAAGACCTCAAAAAGATGCAAACAAAAAGATTTATTCAGTCAAGGACCTGGAGAGGAAAGTCAGCTGCACACATATGTTTAGCAAAATAGATGAGAAAAATCAACAATATGACTTAAAAAAAATCAGCTACATGGAAGTACAATTCAGCAAAGAAACTGAGATTTAGGGGGAAATGACACCAGTAGAAATGTTGTAGAAAAAATAAATCATACAATCAAAAAGCAAAGCAAAGGCGTCTTGGTGGAAGTAAAAATGTGTAGATACTGCGTTTTCTTCCCCCACCATTTCTTATACCTTTGGTAGGGCTCAGTGGGAACTTAGGGGCCTGTGGGTGGATGTGCGTTGGGAACTAGACCATGTGAGGAGTCAGGAACATGGTGTGTGTCGCAAAGCTGGTGACTTTTCCTGACTACTGGACCTTTGCTCTGTCTTACCATCTTTTTTTAAATTAATTTTTATTTAAATTAAAAACAACCTTATTTTACACACCAATCCCAATTCCCACTCCCTCCGGTCTTCCCATTTCCCCCACCATCTCCCCATCCTAACCCCTATCCGCTCCTCAGGAAGGGTGAGGCCTCCCATGGGGATCATCAAAGTCTGTCACATCATTTGGAGAAGGACCTAGACCCTCCCGCTTGTATCTAGGCTGAGAGAGCATCCCTTCACAGGCATTATCATCCTTTCTATAACGTGGCAGAGTGCAACCTTCTCTAAGTCCCGCTCAGGTATGAACTGTTCCTTCCGGGAGAAAGTCTGTGGAATGAACTGGCTGAGTCAGGTCCTCGAGAACCTTCAGAGTTCTTTACAAGCATAACGAATGCTCACTCTACTCCTATCCAGTGCCCCTAGGAACTGACAACGGAGAGGAAGGAAGGACGGGTTAGAGGCGTGGCGAAGGAAGAGGCGTGGCATCAGAAAGGGCAAATGGAGTAAGGGGCGGTCCGGGAGGCGGGGCGGTCCGAGAGGCGGGGCAATTCGGGAGGCGGGACGACCCAAGACTCGTGCTTAACATGGCCACGCTGCGCAGGCTGCGTGAAGCTCCCCGGCACTTAATGGTCTGTGAGAAATCCAACTTCGGCCACGAAAAGTCTCGTCATAAGCATCTCGTGGAGACGCATTATCACAATTACAGGGTGAGTCAGGTCCACCCGGCCTTCTCTGGCTAGAGAGGTTTAGGGTAGAGCCTCTCTGGGCTTCCTCCGGCGGGACCTCCTCGTCTTGCGGGGGCGGGCAGAGTCGGTCGCCAAGCATGCTGGGAACTGTAGTCTCTTTCGTTTGCCGACCGCCTTTCTTGAAGGCGTTTAGGACTACAACTCCCAGCATGAGCTGGCCGCGAAGTTTTGGTGTTCGTTTCCTGAGTTTGGGTGGTTAATGCTGGGTTCAGAACTGGTTCCCCCACCGTCCGCGGTAGCTAGGTGAAAGGTTGGGCAGGCCCTGAGGAGTTAGGACTGTGACCCGCACAACATGTAGCTGCCTTTTGCCCTAAATTTAGGCTTGGTCTCTCCGTAGCTCTGTTTATGCCTCTTTCCAAAGTACCACCGGGTTCGACAACTATGGAACTCCAAAAAACCTACCTTAAGACGATAAGGGCTTACACATTTTACACCTTAAAATGTCGGCTTGATAACGTTTCTCAGAAACATTAACTGGCGCCCTAGTCCTTCAGGCACAGGCTGGTTGTTGGAGCTTTGCGGGACAGACTTTAGATGTGCCCTTGGGGATATTTTGAAATCCGCGCGGAGTTTACATCTCCACTTGGTTGAAATCTCCTCCCTGCGGTCTTATCTGGCCTGACTTGTTACTTAGCGTTTGTCCAGGAAGTGGAAGCATCCAGGAACACTTCTGTTTCTATGTAGCTTCTTACTAACAGAATGTATGTAAACACCTTATGCTCCCAGGAACAGTTCCTTTGGTTCCAGAGTAAACAAATCAAGGCATGTTGAATTACACTGTACTTCCTTGAGTATAAAATGTGAAGGACGTAACGTGCTGCTCATGTGCAAAAATAAAATTTAAGCAAGACTTCCATTGTATTTCTGTTTAGTCGCTTGCCTCACATTGTAATGTAGACATGAAAAACTTGAGTAATTCAATGTTTGCTGGGCGGTGGTGGTGCACGCTCTTCATCCCAGTACTCCAGAGGCAGGGGAGGGGGGATCTCTCTGAGTTTGAGGCCAGCCTGGTCTACAAATAGAGTTCCAGGACAGGCTCCAAAGCTATACAGAGAAACCCCGTTTAGAAAAACAAACAAGATTTGTTCCCTGGCAGGGTGGTGGTGCACACCTTTAATCCCAGGCAGAGGCTGGTAGATCTCTGAGTTCAAGGAGAAAAAAAAGAAAATAAAGATTTGTTGCCTGTGTTTGTATGTTCCAGTAAAACCTATGAAGGAATAGCTAGCAATTTTCATATTTCACTTCTAAAAACATGGTGTTGATCTTCATAAAATATGACTTTGTTTGTACTTCCATATTCCAACAGGTTTCTTTTCTTGTTCCTGAATGTGGGATGCTATCAAAAGAGCTGAAAAACCTGGTGATGGAAATTGGTCCCTATTACTCTGTGAAGAACTTACCTCTTCATGAATTAGTTACACATGAGTTCATCCACACCTTTGTAAAGAAAGGTGAGAAAAGGCATTCAGTGTCTCATATAAACCAGGCGAGATGAAGAGCTGTCAGGAGACCACAGCAAAGTACTGGAGTTCATCACTTGTTTTCAGGAGGTCCCGCAGAGGGTGGAGCCTGTGGTTAGCTGTGTGCAGCACCCTCCATCTGCCCATATTGTTTAGTCTTCTCATTCATGTGTCCTCTTTAGGTGATGGCTAAGTATCTGACCAAATTTTATTAGCCCTTGCAACAACTCAGTGAAGTAGGTCGAATCCATGCTTGGCAAATGAGGAAGATTAAGTAGCCTTGATTATTAACTTGGTTGATTAGTTTCTGAGTATTAACCTAGGGCTTTGCCTCAAAGGTTTGTCCTCTTGCCTGTTCTACTGTGCATCTTTCTTTCTGCTAGAATCCCCAAGCTTATAGGTTCTCTTCTAAGTCCATTCTCAGCCTGTTAGTGGTAAACTTGTCCAAGAAGACCCTGAATGGGTCCTGAGTAGGGGAGTGTTCTAGCTGGAACTTAGTATGTGTGTGTTTTAACTTATCCCTGGTGTGTATTGGGTTTATTGAGTGAGTTAGAGTAGTGCTGGACACTGTTACCTACCTGGAAAATTTGTTGTCATTCATAAACAAACATTGTGCAGGGTTGACTTAATTCTTTTTCTTGACTTTCTCTTACAGGTTCATTCTCTGCACTAACATACAACACAAGTATTGATGAGGATAATACTGCTGCCCTCCTACCAAATGGTGACAACATTCATTTTTTCCCTTCCTTTTCAATTACAAAAGAGAGTTGAAACAAGAAAAACAAAAAGACAAAACAAAAAATCTCTAAGGAATAGTGAGATGGTTTAGCAGTTAAGAGAGTTGGCTGCTCTTCCAAAGGACCAGCACCCACTTGGTAGCTCACAGCTGTCTGTCTGTAGTTCCAGTTCCTGGGACCAATGCCCTTGTCTGGCCTCCACAGGCACCAGGCATACATATGATGCACAGATATACATGTGGGCAAGACGCCCATGCACATAAAAATGTAAAATAATTTTTAAAAGTCAAATCCTACTGCTCTAAACAGAGTAAAATGAAGCTCCTCCTTGAGCTCTAGACTTCCTTCCTAGATGGAGCAGTTTGATGTTTTCCAGAATTTTCTATGAATTTATAAACATAAAAATTTTTAACATTGCCTGGGCATTGGTGGTGCACACCTTTAATCCCAGCACTGGGAAGGCAGAGGCAGTTGAGTTCGAGACCAGCCTGATCTACAAAAGCTAGTTCCAGGACAGCCTCCAAAGCCACAGAGAAGCCCTGCCTCAACCCCCCCCCGCCCCAGTTTTTTTTTAACATTGGCTATATTCCACTGTTTCTCAGTAGTCTTATTTCCTAGGTTGTATGGCATAGACATGCTTCTTCATCAGTGCGAGTAGTTGTGACTTAGAACATTTTGTTTTGTTTTGAGATGGGATCTTGCCATTTAGCTCAGGTTAGTCTCAGATTACATTCCCCCTGCCTTAGCTTTCCAAGAGCTGGGGTTACAAACACGAACCAGCACATCTCCACCTGGCTCTAACAGGTTTTAAATGTTCTGGAGAAATGGTTCAGCAGGTAAGAGTATTTACTGCCATTGCAGAGGACCCAGATTTAGTTCCCAGTACCCACATGGTAGCTAACAACTCAAGTTCCAGGAGCCCTGACACCCTCTTTTGATCTCCACAGGCTCTTTGGTATACTTACATATGCCCAGGCACACAAATACAGATAACATTAAATTAGATTTAAATTTAAAGGAGATATTTGAAGTGATATACAGACCAAAGTTTGATGGTTTCTTCCTTAATACAATTACAATTATTTGTAGCTTCACTACTGTAATATCTACAGATGTATATATGATAGGTAATGTCTCCAAGCATGGTGTCTCACGTCTGTAATCCCTGTGTTTGGAAGGCTGAAGCACAATGATTGCCACCAGTTTGGGGCCAACTGCAGCTATATAGCAAGTTTCAGGCCAGTCAAGTACATGGCTGCATAATATCAACGTGTTAATAAATAAGTTCTTCATTTGTATTTATACTGCTGTTTCACTGCCCAGTTGTCTACCTTCCTTTGAGTAGCATCTCTCTTACGGGAGCTATTATTTGATTTATAGGGAAATTAATTTTGTCACTCAACAAAGATACTTATGAAGAAACTGGACTTCAAGGTCATCCATCTAGGTATTCTGGCAGAAAAACTATGAAGTTTAGTAAGTATTATGTGTGCTCTACTGGCATCTGGCAAGTCAGTTTTCTTGTAATAAAATGTAAATGTTTGCCACAGCTCTGATCTCTGTTCTCTTTCTTGCCTTTGAAATCCTGATTCAAGGAGCTGTTTGTTGTGCTTCCCAGGGGATTAGTTGGTGCTGTTCAATTGTTTCTCTTAGCTACACACTGTGTTTAATAAGGGTTGTAGGACTGGACTAGTCTCTTGCATGCACTGGAGATCAGTAACTTAGTGTACTTAGCACTCAGTTTCTTTATGATTCTTAGTAGGAATTCACTTACAAGTAAAAGGTGGTTTTGATTGACACTGGTGTGGACATCAGTAACTAAGGCTGCCACATACACAGCAGACTGGAGTTGATCTCCTGAAGACCTCTGCCCTTGATCTTTGACCTAGGAAGGTTTTAAAGTATTTAACACAACTTTAGTAGAAATAAGCCACTGAGGCATGTGTTTTTGATGAAGGAAAAGGGGTGAAGAACAGAATCTGTACTATTAATTAATAGACTAATTAATTAATCTGTACTATTAATAAACTTAGCAAACATGCAGATGTTTTTCTACAGTGTAAGCCATGTATAATTTAAATGAAAGATGTATTCCTTTTTCTACTTTAAGTTGTTTCCATTGATTTAGTGGATTTATCCGCTAACCTGGATTCTAAGAAGTATGAAAGAGTATCTTGGTCCTTCAAAGAAAAGAACCCTTTGAAGTTTGATTTTCTTTTGGCTTGGCATCATACAGGTATGAAGGATAAATCTTATAATGGTACAGCAATTTTGAAATCTTTCCAAAGGAGAGGTGTAATGGGGGTTGAGCTGTGGCATATCACTGTGGTCAAGGGAGGTTGTTTACATAGGTGTGTGGGCATTGTGAAGGAATTGCACCAGCTTCCTAGGCGTCTGCAGCACTTGCAGTCGGGGAGCCTAGTTCTGAAGCAATCTGCCCCAGTGTCCTTGGGTTTTCTGCCGATGCAGAGAGCCTCACAGTGGCTTCAGAACAGCTAACCCCTTTCCCTTCCGTGGATGTCAGACAGCCTTGGCTAGAATATTTTGAAAGCAGCATGAGTTATGTGTGTGTGTGATATGTTTATCATTATTGCAGGATAGTACCTCAGATGAACTTTTAAATGTCAGATGGCATTTGTTGTGACTTCTAATTGAATAGAATACTGAATTAAGTGCCAGCTTTAATGTTCAAGTATATTAATCTGCCTGCAACTTCCACATGTATTGCTTTGTTTATAATTGTATCTTTCGCCCATTACCAGATTATAACAAATCAGATGGTTGGGAGTTATGGTGTGGACAGGGAAAAAGTTCATTTTGGAACTCTATTCATCTGTCTGCTCCTCGTGGAGAGTTCTTGGGACTCTGCTGGCCCCACATGGCTCTTGAATGTCCAAATTTTCTAAAGCGTGATGCTTCTCCTTCTAGATGCCCTGCTGGCAAGCTGATAGTGTCATTTCTCTGGATAAACTGAGGGCCTAAAAAACCTGGAGCCTGAAATCCAGGAGCAGGAGAAGCTGGGTGTCTCAGCTCCAGGAGACAGAGTGAATTTACCTTGTCTCTGCCTCCTTGTTCTATCTGGGCCCTGGCTGTTGGACTAATGCGCATGTCTACCACCCTAAGAGTGGGGCCCTCCTACTCAGTCCGTGAACTCACATGCTAGTCTCCTTTTGAAACATCCTCACAGTCACACCTAGAAATGGGCTTTACCACTAATCCAGTTTGACACCTAGAATTAATCCACGCACAAGAGAATCGACATTAGTGTAAGTTCACCAAATCCCAGTTGGCATGGAACATCACAGACTTGGTCTAGTAATGCTGGCACGTGCAGTGGGTTACATTACAAAACAGGGGTTTAGAACCCAAAGAACCTGGTTGTTTTATAGTAAGAGTAAACCCATCTGCTCTGCCCATAGATGGGGGAGGGTCATTATTTGTATTTTACTGCACAGTAAGCCAGCCTGCCCTGTACTTTGGAGAGGGTGTTTGATTCTGTCTTCCAAGTCTGTTGGGTGCACAAACTTCTCTGATTTTCTTGAGTCTTCAAAGGGTTAGTTAGCATGAGATTCTACCATCATTCAGTTCCTCTGCTGTTTCCTATTAGGTTGAACAAATAAACTCCCTTCTGTGGAGTTTATAGCATCCCTATATAAAGGAATACTTTGGGGTTTATACATGAAGTTGAAATTTTCTTGTCAGAGCAAGTAAAACAAATATGGACCTGAGCTGAAGGCACCATTTATTTTCTAGGAAAAGTGAAAAAGATAATTGTTCATGATACTTTAGCATAGGCAGCTGAAAACAACTTGAAGTGGTTGTAATTAGGATACAGCTTTACCTAGCTTCAGTTTTACACTATCTTACCTGTACCCTGTAACTCGAAAGGGAGTGGGAAAGGTGTTGTGGACGGTGATACATACCTATAAAGGGAAGGGAGGCAGGCAGGAGGATCATGTGTTTGAGGCTAGCTACATACTGAGGCCCTGTCTCAAAAACACACAGAAGAAAAAGAGAATGCAGTTGGGTCAAGACTCATCCGAGTTGTAACAGTGTTGACTTGGCCTTATTTGGTGTGTTTTAAGGTGCAGAAGAATCAACAATGATGTCATACTTTTCCAAATACCAAATTCAGGAGCATCAGCCAAAAGTGTCATTGAGCACAGTGAGAGAGCTGCAGTGCCCGGTGCTGCAGAGCAGCTCCCTTGCAGGAGAGCCGGAGGAGGCCTGCAGTGCCCTGGAGCTCTTTGACTGGCTCGGCGCTGTCTTCTGCCATGCGGACCTGTACGTATATGAGCTCTGGGGTTGGTCGTTTGTCTTCAATAAGAGCTCAGTACTTTGGATGTGATTATATAGTGGTTGTAAATACGTTTTCTTTCCTTTTTATGGCAGAGATAACCAGCCTTATAATTTTATATCAACCTACCGCTGTCCCCAGCCAAGCACAGTGGTAGCCCAAGCTTGTCTATGTACAGTCACTGGTTTCATACTGCCAGAGAAGATAAACGTCCTTCTGGAACAGCTGTGGTGAGAACCCTTCCTATCTGTGTCTCTCACTTGTTGGTACTCCATTGGGGTGTTAAGGACTTTTGTTAGGGTGTGGTACAAGGCAGGACCCCTCATAAATACTTATCCCTTTTTCCATAACTTGGATTCAAAGTATAGTAAATTCTGTAAGTATTCATTAAAAACAACAACATCAAGAAACCTTACCTTTTTTAAGATTTATTTTATTTATGTGCGGGAGTGCCAATGGGGGCCAGAAGAGGGCTTCAGATTTCCCGGGGCTGGAGTTACAGACAGTTGGGAGTCTGCCTATTGGGTGCTGGGAAGCAAACTTGGAAATAAGTGCTCTTAACTACTGGGCTATCTCTCTGGCCCTGGCACATGGTTCTTGCTGACAGAGAAAATGCTATATGGAAGTATTTAACCCTTGTGGCAAGAAAAAGTGGAACCTCAGTAGGTTTCTCAAAACAAGCTGCTCATTTTCCGGGTTATGTTTTGAGCCATATATACATATACTACTTGAAAATACTTCAGTATTCTGCGGAACAAATTATGACCTATGTTAAGTTAAAAAATTCTGCAAATCTTTCATTCAGAATTAGGTAAGAATCCGGGATAGTGACTTTAGTTCCAACACTTGGGACACAGATGTAGGCCAGATCTGAGTTGGAGGCCAACCTGGTCTACATTGTGAGTTCTAGGACACCTTGGGCTACATAGAGAGACCCTAGGTGTTTTTGGTTTTTTTCCTTCCATTCTGGGAATCAAACTCAAGGCCTTGAGCACAGTAGGCAGTGTTAAAGCACTGAGTCCCCACCCCAGCACCCTTCATGGGAGAGAGGTCAGCGAGATAGCTCAGTGGGTAAAGATACATGAGCCAAAACTGAGGACCTGGGTTTGAATCTCAGGATCCACAAAGGACCTCAAAGTTGTCGTCTGACTCCCCCCCCCCCCCACAGGCATACACACATTTAAAAACAAACAAACAAAAGCCCACCTTAATAGGAGGGAAACTTTATGTAATTTGGATGGGGTGGAAGTTGTTCTCTTGGTCTTTTTTTTTTTTTTTTTTTTTTCTGGTTTTACGAGACAGGGTTTCTCTGTATTGTTTTGGAGGCTGTCGGTCCAGCCCGGCCTCGAACTCACAGAGATCCGCCTGCCTCTGCCTCCCGAGTGCTGGGATTAAAGGCGTGCGCCACCACCGCCCGGCTTGTTCTCTTGGTCTTAACTGATTTTCCAGACTGGATGAGCTGCTGAAGTTGTTTTCCAAGTGTTATACTAGTTAATCTTTATGGAATTCATAATATAGCACCAAGTATATAATTCACATAGCCTAGTTTTTGTGAATCAAAATTGATTCTCGGCTTAATTAGAACATCAGAAATACCTCTAATCCAGGATAGTTTCTTTACTGTGGCTGTTCCTGACCTCTTATTTATGAGAATTTTCTTTCTTTTTCAGTCACTACTTTGATGAGCCAAAGTTAGCCCCATGGCTCACCTTGTCAGTTCAAGGCTTTGCAGACAGCCCTGTTTCATGGAGAGAGAACGAACATGGCTTCCAAAAAGGAGGAGAGCACTTATACAACTTTGTGATATTTAGCAATCAGGACTATTGGCTTCAGATGGCTGTTGGGGCAAATGATGACTGTCCACCATAAGATAATACAAAATTTAAAACTGATTGTTTGTTGTCATATTTTCTCATTGTGAAAGAGTTAAGTGTCACCCAGCCTTGTCATGATGTTCACCTCTCAGATTGGCATTTTCTTGCTGTCTGCTCTGCAGTGGCCCCTGGGCACTGGCTGCCTGTCCAGTGCATAGAGCACAAGGTATTGCTTACTACAGAGTGGGGTAAGCTGGAAGATAGGGACCAGCAGGATTGGACCACTTTGTGAAATTTTTAGGTTAAAAAAAGGAATCCTTATTCTTGGCGTCCTGTTGCTGTTATGGATGCTATTCACATATAAACTGATCTAGTTTGATTTTCTGTTGATCAGAAGCAGCTTCTGGAAGGAAAGAACAGGTTACAGTCCATCATCAAGGGAAGTTGAAGCAGGAACTTTAGACACAGGAACTGAAGCAGAGACCTTGCTTGCTCACCTAGCTTTCAGAGAGAGAGAGAGTTTAGGGGCCCACCACCCCACTCCCAAGTAAATATACAGAGACTTACTCTTACTTATGAATGCCTGACTTTAGCTTGACTTGTTTCTAGCCAGCTTTTCTTAACTTAAATTATCCTGACCACCTTTTGCTTCTGAACTTTTACCTTTCTCTATTCTACATACCTTTCTTCTTACTCCATAGCTGGCTGGGTGACTGGCCCCTGGCATCCTCTCTCCTCCTTTTCATGCTCCTCCCTCTTTCTCCTCTCTTCCTAGAATGCAACACATCTTTGCACCATTAGACAAATACTCCACAGCATAAGAGAATGTAACACATCTGTAACTAATCTTCCACTACAGCACAGGCCTACCTGCTTAGGAATGGCATTTCCCACTGTGGGCTGGGCCTTCTTCCATTTTACAGCAATCAAGAAAATATCCCATAGGTAATGCTCATGGACTCTGCTGATGGATGCAGTTCCTCAGGTATAAGTATCTGGTTTATACCTGACATAGTCACTGTGGGGCTGGCAGGACAGAGGGAATGAGCTTCTCTCTTTGAGGGGAGGACATTTGGGAGGACAGTTACCCTACTTCACAAGCTCATTAGTTCAAGCTGATAGGCTGTCATAACTGAAGGCACACAAGAAAGAGGAAGGATTGAGATGCCGAGCGAAGGACCTTTCTCCTGTGGAGAGAAGCCACCGGGGAACTTCAACATAGGACTCCTTCGTCCACCCTCCAGCCCACACCCTGGGTCCTTGGTGTACAAGTTTGGAAAGGCGTTTCTCAGCAGGACACCAGCTCCCCAGCCTGAGCTTAGGGGCCACTTTCTCTAAGGTTGAATGGAAAGTGTGTATCAGAACAACACTGCTTGCAGGAACTAACGATGACCCTATTTACAAAACTGAGCATTTTGTGCACTGTCTTGTTTTAGGACAGGGCTGCTCAAGGGTTGAATTAACATAGGAGACAACATGGATCTTGTGAGGTGTGGTTCACAGAGCACCACCAAAGCAATGCCTACCACAGACTGTGGATGATAGTCTAAATGCTTAGAAACACCCTTTGCCTTTAAACTTGCCTGCTGGAGTTTCAAATTGAGCTATGGGTCTTTGCCTACAAGTTTTCTCCCTCTCCCCCTTTTTTAGTCTCATGTCTCATGAATCCGTCCACTTGACTGAACTTGCTGTCCCTTTTGTGTCTCCATTAAAATTCACATTGGGCTGGGATAGGGGTAGCAGGAGAAAATGACCTCAGCAAGCTGAGTGAATGTGACTGCAGAAATCCACCCCAGCCTTGTAAAGGTCATCTGCAGGGAACACCCGAGAAAGCAGTTAAATGAGGACATTCAGACATGGGATCGGTATTTCATTGACACTGTACACTCTGAGGAAAACCAGGTTTGTGGGTGGAGGCGGTCCTGCCTACCTTCTTTGCTTCCACAGCTAAGGATGAAAGCCAGGGCCCTTTCCCTTGATTGAGGAAGGGTTCATACCAGGCTTTCATTTCTGATCACGATTGGCAGCCTGGAGACAGCACACTCTGCTAAACCAGTGACTCTGGGCTCTTAGGCCTTGATGCCTAATGCAGTCACCTGGGTGAGAGGCTAGGCAGTAAGGCTGTCTGGGATATGTGAGCAGCCAAGATTTGTCTTAGGCCTCTGACAGGTCTCCATGTCTTTGTGCCTGTGAGAAAGTTTTGAGCATATAATGCCTTCTGAACTCCAGAATGTTCTCCTTTCTCAACTGGCAAACTTTCCTCCGTCCATTCAAAATTTCTCAGAAGAAAAGCAAAGCCAATACATTTGATTGAGTAATAACAATGGCTGACATTTCTGGGCAGTCATTGAGTATTCAGGCAAGCTAAGCTTTTTTAAACAACATTCCACCAGTTAATGCCCGTGAAAGTCCCTTGGAACAGATGTGACTCACATTTCACAGATAGACCTCACTATAGCCCATAGGGTGAAGTAGGCAGCCAAGCCAGAACTGCTCATAATATTATGTTTCACTCTATACCTGGAGATTTAAAAATTAAGATTTATAGCCAGGTATGGTGATGCACACTGTTAATCTCAGCACTTAGGAGGTGGAGGCAGGCGGATCTCTATGATTCTGAGGCCAGCCTGTTCTGTGTAGTGAGTTCTAGCAGCCAGAACTATATAGTGACACCCAACTCAAAAAAAACAAAAACAAAACCCTGTTTTTTAATCTTTCATAAATATCTTTATTCATTACCAAAATGAAAGTGAAATATGAAAATGACTTGTTTCAGTTATTCATTTGTTAGATAACAAATTTCCCCCAAATTTAATCATTTAACCATTTGCTATTTTTCATGATATTACTTATTGATCAGAAGGTGGTTCTCTCTGACACGATGGTGGTTGGCTGGAAAGTTTTAAGTGGCCTCATTTGGTTCTGGTGGCAGGTTTGGTGGTCATTTGGGACGATTCATCAGAGTCCTCAGTGCTCTTCTATGTGGGCTTCTTTGTAGCTGTTTGGGCTTTCTGACAACATAGTGGGTTCTAGTAAGGAACATTCCAGAAAGGTAAGGCCTATTGTGAAAGTGCTTAAGGATCCAGTTGGAGTATTGTTTATGATTCAGCCAAGGGCTGAATTGACAGAAGCATTAATCTCAGGAGGTGGTTCACTGAGCACCACCAGAGCAACAGTTTACCACAGGCAATATGGATGAGATTCTATATGGCTGAGAAACATCCTTCTTTTCCTCTTAGACTCACCAGTTGCACTTTCAAATTGAGCTTATGAATCTTTGCCTAATATTTTCCTTTCCCCCCCAGACAGTCTCACGTTTCCTACTCAGGCTGACCTTGAGCTTCCCATGTAGCTGAGTATGATCTTGAGCTTCTGATCCTACTGCCTCTACCTCCTAAGGGTTGGGACTATATGTATGTTCTACCATGCTGGTTCTTCTGCAGTGCTGGTGATTGAAGCCAGAGCTTCCTGCATACTAGGTAAACATTTGACCAACTCAGCTACATCTCCAGGTCCTGCATATACAACATTCGAAATTTTGGTGATGTTCAGAATGCTGAACTGACCAGTAAGTGGCTTGCTCATTTGTAAATTTAATATTCTCTGCTTTCAGTTTAGTAAGAAAGATGGATAGCTGCCCTGGTTAGTCTCAACGGTCAACTTGACATGACCTAGAGTCATCTGAAGGAGTCTCAATTGAGAAATTAACCAAATCAGATTGACCTATGGCCATGTCTGTGAGGGATTGTCTTGATTGATGACGGATGTCAGAGGGCCTAGCTCACTGTTTGCAGCATCATCCCTAGGCAGATGGGCTTGGACCGTGTGGTCGTTTGAATAGGTAAGGCCTCACAGACTCATGTGCGTGAATGTTTGGCCCACAGGGAGTGGTATGATTAGAAGGTATGGCTGTAATAGTACATGGGACTGGGATGAAGTAAGTTAATTTATTGAAGAGAAAATCACTTACATGATAAACTGATATCCCAGGGTCAGCAAGTATGCGCTAGGAAAAGGAAAAGTACGAACACACTCCCTCAAGATGTAAAGTCAGTAAACAGCAAAAGGAAATGGCAAGAACTACATATCAAATCCAAGGGTAAAGGCATAACAGAGATTACTATAGAGCTATTCTAAACTGGAAAGTTTAAGTCTTGTACCTAATATTTCTATCTAGGAAGAGAGAACAATAATTGTGACAGTCTAATCTTCAACCTCATCAAAGACCTGAGAAGGAAGATAACAAAATACTAGGGTAGGCAGGAAGTGCAGGTGAGCAGCTTCCAAAGGTGCAGTGAAGACAGAGACAGCAAGCTACCTGGACAGTCACCCAAAGTCTGACAGCAGCGTAGGGGCAACCAGCTTTGGCTAAGGCCTAGAGTATCAGACTGATCAACACAGAAGCAGGAGGTAGAAAGGCTGTCTTACCCTGACTTGGCAAGGTTCAGCAGTCTTTAAATTATCTCCTGCAAGCACAGTAGGATAGCATGTCCAAAGTCCGTGGTCGAAGTGGGGCCAGTTCTTTGCCCAAGAGGCCATTAGCCAAGGGAGGAGAGAATGGACTCCAGAAGGAGTGACATCAGTGCCCAACATTTTCTCTGGAATAGCTTGGTGCTGTCAGGAGCAATTGTGTCTCATGTCAACAGAGTACTAATATTAAAATATTTAAATACCATGTTATTCAGGTCTATGAAGTGTTTGAAGATCAAAATCTATGTCTGACTAATCTCATAGATATAAGAATCTAAGTGAAAATATCTGCAATTCTCAGGAACCTAGTTGTACAGTGGCTTAAGCTTCCCAAAATAATTTAGCAAGGACCAAGATTACAGCTATATAACTATATATACATATATGTGACTCTATAAAGCAGAGGTAGAATTGAAGTGTGTTAATCAGAGGTAGAATTGTATAGGGCGACATGATAGAAATATACTAAACTGTGTCAATATACAAAATATCTTAAACACATGTAGAAGCATATATACATAAAATATGATAAGGATATTTGTGCACCAAACATCGTAAATGAAAAGAAGACCTTACACAGTATGACAAACTGCAATATACAAATTATC